GTGACTTAATTGTGCTTGGTCGCGAGATGTGCAGCTATCTGTTCTGTAACTTCCTGCTCTTGTGGCCGTCAGTGGTGGAGAACCTGACTGATGTAACGTGTTTGTTTTTGAACAGACAACAGACGCCTTGTATAGTCTTGCCTGTTACTGTATTCGCACTTATTATCTGGACAATTGCAGAACTTACGGCAAATCAAGACATCAATCGGGCATGAGATAGAAATCCTGCAACCCCACATGCCCTTGCAGCTCATAAGCAGGCCAGGAACCTCGACGCCTGATAAAAACCAGTAATCTCAACACTAGCAATTCAGCACAATCAACTAAGTCTGACCCTGTCTTTGCCATGGTTGTTCGTGAATTCACCAGTGCTATGCCAACTTAAACGGCAATTGTTGTTGTATGATGCGAGCACTGCAGAACCACCTACGAAGGGTTCAAGTCGCTGTTACTTTTCATACTCCGCCAGTCACTACTCTGCATACAGTGTTTGCTGACGACTTATATACTCAGAAAAATTGCATGTCCCTCAGCCCCACCTATTTGGGAGTTTCCGAAAACAAGGAACCCTCATAACCCTAAATAATAGGATCCATACTCTAAGGAACCCCCAAAATGCGACCCCTAGTTTTCGGAAACCCCCAAATCCTAAAAACCGTATAGATCCTCTATAGATCTCATGGATCCCTGTAAAGGAGCCCAATAGATCTCTTTCTGTGCTGCAGCGATCCCCAGGCTCCCTGATGGCGAGCAACAAGCTTGCGAGGCAGCACTGAGGGGTTCCTCGGCGGTGAGATGTTTTTTTTGGTCTGTTGGTGAGGGCGTGGATTGAAAATGGAATGGAATGTAGAGGATTTTTAGCGTGTTCTAGGGTTGCTTAGGGCGATAATGGAACATCACATGTGAACTATAGTAGTGTCCATTTGATTTCCCATAATTTTGGGGTGGAATTTTAGATTCTAGACAGGGTTCTTGTTAAGGGATTTAATTTAAGTTAATGGGATCTGTCGTAAATAATAATAGAGTTTCCTCATTATGGTGTTTTAGATAAAATCCGTTAACCAGAACCCAGTATATGCGTATAGGGTTCACTGAAATTTGCTAGCATAGCATAGCTTCACTCTGAGCATTTGTTTTGAGACAGCTTCATGCAGTTTGATGCTAACCGCCTGGAAGGCATGTTGCTATCCCTCCGGCAGTGCACTCCAGCTTTGGCAATGCTCAGTAAGTCTCCCTCGCCCGGTGGCTTCTCCGCCCTGCCTTTGGTCCAAGCCGTTCCCAATCCAACATGGCTCCCGTTGAGCACTGCAGGAGTTGGGGTCAGCCCAGAGTTGCGTGAGGACCCGAGAGTCAAGCTTGAAGCATTGAGGAAAAGGTTGGGGGTCCAGATGTGTCAGGGTCTTGATTGAGCAGAGTTCAATTCCAATCCGATGGTCCGAGATGTTCGGGCACGGCAGTCAGCAGTTTCTCGCGAACGCGACAGCGACAGCAGCAGCGAATAACAACGCATCACGCAGCATAGCCACATAGCCATGCTATGCCATGCTGCAAGACTTCGGAGGTCCAGGCAGCTTTCGCCTCTGCTGTGGCGACAACAGCTGTTACCCTGGCAATTTGGCGCAGGATATCGAGCCAGATGATGAGCCGGAGGATGGTGGAGTCTCGCCATGAAAGCGCTCTTCCACACCGGAATCCCCAGTCGGCACTGTCGTGTTTATATGCTCATGGGAGACCCCCTCTCCTGCACGGTGCCTTGGGTGCTGTTCCTTTGTTGTTGGATGTGGGAATGTCAGAAAACAGAGGCGCCGTGGTCTTGAACCCCAAACTTAATGCCAGGATCCTCGATGTAAGGCCCCCCAAAAGATGGTGACCCTGGTTTTCTGAAACTTCCATGTCTTGTTTGGGCATACTACATCCTGGGCTGCAAGGTGGAAGGGACCTGGCGCATTGCAACACAGGGACAAGTGGAGATGGGGAATCCTTGCAGCTTGAACCGTGAACTTAGCACCAAAACTTGACGCAACGAAACTTAGGGTTCGCAGTTTAGGTTTAACCATTGAAGGAAGCCCTAAATAAATCTACCGAGGCGATCTGGACAACGACCCCATGGCGTTGAGTCGGCTCCTGCGAGAGCATGTTTTCTAGGCTTATGGTTTGAGGGTTATGGCTTTGGTTTCGGACCCCGTGCTCACAACTACAATTAGAAAACTGGAATGCGAGGCCCTACTATTGAACAACTGGAAGTAAAGGATGTCTTGGTCGAGCAAGATCGTGAACTGAGACACCCCTTCCTGAAACGGACGCAATCTGTAGAGGTGTTTGTGCACTCTGGCTTTGTAAGGTCTTTGAAATGTTGTCCGCGCCGGTTGAAAGAAAATACGGATACCTTCGGTGCAAGTCCGAAACGAGTCCGTCCGTCACAGGTCCCGAAGGGCCCCAAGGATTTAGGGTTTGGGCCCTTGTTTTTGTTTGAAAGGTCCAGGTGTGGGGCTTTCGTGGTCCAAGGAGAGGCTCGAGGGACTTCGAAGCCGCCTTAGAAACATTCGAGTTAAGGGGACCCCGAATCCTAGAACCTCCTTTTTCAAAGCACCCCCCCATAAACAAAAAGAAGGTGACTTTAGTTTCGGGGGAGGTTACGAGGCTGGAGAATCGGTTGAAGAGGTTAAGTCATTAGTGTTGCTGAAGCAGGATTCTTCTTCCGGGCAAATGTGCCGCATCTCCATCTAAAGCCTGCATACTGCATGTCTCGCCGTCCATAGTCGAATCTGTTGCCATGCAGTGCTTTTTGATATGAGACATTGTGGCAAAGACATGACGAAGCCACTAGTTCCACTGCAGGCCTGTATTGGATGTATCGAATTTTCAGATCAGTTTTGAGTCACTCGCTCGGCTGCGTTTGCTTTGTCAAGCTCCGTTTGACCCTTGCTGCTTCCGCAATTGTTGCGTCTCTTGCAGCTCCACAGGTGGCTGCAGATCTTTTTCAGAGTTTGGCGCTATTCACCGTCCTCGCTGCCGGTACTATCCTAGCCATGCGAGAGTGCATCACCCCTGAGCCTTCTCGCTCTGCATGAGACGAAGTTCACGGACATTACTGTCGTGTTTGTTCGAGTTTCTGAAAGCACATCTGCGCGTGGTTGAGTTGGCACTTTCAATTCAGACCCCGACCCTTCAACACCAGCCCGGCAAAAGCTAGGCTGAAGGCAGACGACGGCGAGCAAGACCCACCATCCATCAACTTCTCAAACGGCAGCTTGCCCTAAGCTTCTGAAGCGCTATGGTGTCGAGCTCGCGTCATTGCGGCTCTGCAGACACAAGTCCTGCTTCCAGCATTGAGGTCGTGTTAGGCTTGATGTGTCGTATGAGTCGGTCGCAAGACACAGAGCTCTCGCCTTCCTTGCACTAGATTGCCGTTCCCTGAACAGACCAAAATCACGCCACAATTTAGAAGATCGAGGTACGTACAACTTCACGCTCAACATCGTCACAATCAACAGAGTGTTTCGGCGGCAGCCATTGTATGCTTTTTGGGTAAGTCTGCACGTTTCTTCGAGTTTAGGACTTAAGATCCAAGGCTGCTTGCGGCTTGATTAATCTGACGGGTTCCTACACTACGGGGTCCTGTTGCTGTAGGGCTCCTCTGAATTGTTGCTATTGGCTGGATCCAAGCGTCAAGCAGGTGCTGCAGGGGAAGTTCAAGGATCTGGTCAACATCGAGGCAAAGAAGGCAGCGACTCGGACGCTGGATACTATAGAAGCTTGAAATAACTAGTAATATCATGGTTTCGAGTTCCCAAGAAAAGTATAGGATGGCATGTCCCATGTCCCAAAACCCTTCTAGTTATCAAGGCTCCTGTATGACGTGGGTTTTGAGACGGATCCTACGTGCTTCGCCCGGTGCTCTCTCTCTCTCTCTCTCTCTCTCTCTCTCTCTCTCTCTCATGTTTCACCTTTCAATTTAGTGCGAGAGGCGCGTTCTCCGGACCCTTGCCTACCGAGAAAGAAACTACTACTGGTATATTAATATGGCTTCTGCCTGATTTGCTTCGCAAGCATGAATCTCCACAGCGAGGCTCCGAGTTGAAAATGCCTTCCAAGGCGAAGGCTTATGCGAAGAGCTTCATCAAGGACTTGCTGAACGAGCAGGAGCCACGGCATCATGGTCTTGCAAAGTCAAGGCTTGAATATACAGCTAGGAGAAGAAGTGATGAAGGGTAAGATTTCAGACATTGTAGTCGCAAAGCTGACGGCTTAGGCAAGGTCGGAACCCGAGCCAGTGTCAAGATGATGGGCAGCACCTAAAACAGCGTTTCGGGTTGGTCCGGCGCCCTGATACAGATTCCGTGAGGTACTGGATAGTGGCCTCACCGTGATTTGCACACTATGGGTACGTCCGCACACGTTCGCCACCAGGCCCTCCAGAACATGAACCTCAATCTCATACTTGATGCCCCACAGTAGTCTACTAGAGTGGTTGTCATACAAGTTCCTGGAGCCATGGACCCTGATCCCTTGCCCCCTCAAGTACGGTACTAGCAACTAAGAAGTCGCAAGTGTGAGGACGGACCGTGCGTCGATGCCATCGATTCGATGATTGGCGCAACCCTGGCTTCGTAAGCATTCTTGTGAATCAGCTATGGACCATTTTTTTGGAGGTGTTACTGGCGTACTACATTCAGGAGTTGCAGAATGTCTTTCGCACAACAGAAAGTCTACATGCAACTTCTGCGGTTCTATCAGGCATGTTTGTATGGGGCTGCACAAGAAGATCATCGGCGTATTTTTAAAGGTGCTCTTAGTTGATAGATCCTATGGTTCGATATTTACATCAGCGCTCCACCTGGTCCTTTGCCAGCCTGGGCCACCGGTTGCACCGATACCCTCCCCTCCAGCCCCAAATTTCCCAAATCCCTGTGATCTTTGGGACCGGCAGTGGCTGCACCCTTTGTGCGGTCCAGACACCTTGCAGCCCGATGTTCCTGTGGCAGCTGCAGCACGCAACCATGCAGCAGGCCCTGCAGTCCTGTGTCCTTGTGGCTCCGTCGAGCGTCGGGAGCTTGCACCCGCACCGGCCATTCCATAGTCAACCTTCTCTGTATTGTGAACGGCTCGGGTATTTTACACCAATACTATAGGCCCAAAAACCTGTGTCTCACTCAGGTGATGCAGCGACTGAACCACTGCTACGAGCAGTTGACTGCCGTTAAGTGCCTTCGGCCGAACCTGCAGGGTGTTTTAGGCAAGCGTCTTGGAATTTCAGGGCCTCGGCTCTCTGTACTTTGGCTTCTAACCTAAAAGCTTTGAGGATGGTGGTGCGTGTCTATGAGTTTCGTACATGCATTTGGCTTTCCGCTTTGAGGATAGAGACCCTGGAGCCCCCTTTACCTTGCTCGGTTCTGAAGGTACCCTTGTGAACCGAAAGTCCAAACCCTGTCTCCTGCAACTCAGAACGGGAGCTGCTAAAGCAAACCAACATGTTCCTCAACACTGAACCCTGAATCTTAATGCTTGTGCTTGTGCTATATTTGATCACAACCTGCAAGGATGTTTGACCGCCGAAGGGAGTGACAAGTTCCCGGTTGAGGTTCATCATTTGGGGATTAGGGTTTCGTTTGAGAGTTACTTCCTGGCGGGGACCTTGGTTATGGGTTTAAGGTTGGAGTAAGTGCTTTGTATGTCCGGTTAGGATTGGGGGTGTGATCTGTTGCTAGATACTCGTATCATTTTTGGATCCATATGGCATCTCATAACAGGATTCCGAAACAGCAACGGCAAACTTTGGGTCCGGCACGGTAGTTTGGCTGATGTTCTTCGGCTTTCCGTGAGAGAGCTCAGGGTACCGATCTGCGATGCGAAGACCCACTACGTGAGCGTCCGTGACAGCCTTCAGACGGTCCACACTGCATCTAAGAGCATTAAGGACTTCGCCAACAGGCTGCTCGTCCACTCATTAATGCCGTTGAAAGACTGTCTCTGGCAGGTACAGAATGCAAAGTACCCCACGTGCTTCGCCTACTTTGAGCTCATAGATAATCCTATTTGGCTGCTGTGTGGGCCATGCGCACTTTTCGGCTGAAATCGCGGTCTTTCCACAGTCCCGCGCTGGCCACGCCCGCCGACGACCATTACTGAAATCTGCTTTGTTGGCGCTTCCGAGTTCGATTGATCGCATTCCGTGTTTTGGCGTGGAAATCCTCTATCACCGCGGCTCATACTCGCTCGAAGTTGCGAAAGTCTTGGCAGGGCCACACCGTTCGACCCTCGTCTTCCCTCCACAGTCCCATGCATTTCCGCCTCCTGTTGCCGTCGTTATGCGGTGCTAGTCGTCCTCCTGCTAAATTATTAGTTAGGAAATCAAATGGAAACTATAGTAGTCTGCATTTGATTTTCCACTATTAGTAATGGAAAATCAAGTGGGAACTACTACAGTGTGGTTTGCACATTGGACTCACTTTGATGGTCTTTGCAGCCTTTGGGATGCTCCTGTTTCGGATCCCTTTTGCCGGGCATACCGGGGGCGGATATACCCCATGTATGTATATATATATATATATATATACATACATATATAGTTACATATATGTATATGCATGTGTGTATATATATATATATATAGGACTCTCACATGCAAACATGTTCACGAACTTTCTTGGGAACCTGCTACACGCCGCGAAGCAGGTTCGCAAACTTTCCGAAAATCGGCCAGTTTGCAAAGAGTGTGGCAAACATCTTCCAGCAAGTTCACGACAAAACGAAGGATCCATTGAAGAAGGTGAAGGACTCGTCAGGGTTTGCGATATACTGTGCATTAATAGTGTATTGCTTGCCCAGTAGAGGACCGCAAGCTTGTCCCTGTTAAAGACCGCAGCAATGGGCAGGAGTTCAAGAAGTCGAAATACGGGGACAAGTTCGAGGTTATGGACTGTTGCATTCCCTGGTTCCTCCTCTCGAAGAGCGACCTGGACAAGTGCAACGTGTATCCAGGAAAGAGTCACCGGTGTGGAGGATGCGACGGTGGTTTGATGTGCAACGTTTACAAAACCTGCAACATCTTCACAAAGACGGAGTTGATGATCGACGATTACGGCGAGCTCATCATGAGTCTAGACTGGTTGTTGGGATGTGCTTTAAATGCTTCCAGAGCGGAAGCTTCAGTGTTTCCTGGAATGTAAAACCCCTCAAATAAGACGGTCCTGTGGCTTGTGTCTTGCGTCTATGTCACATTGCGAGGACAACGGCATTGAACTTCATTTATGTAGCACATGCCTTTCAAGCACTTGGGAAGCCCCCTATGTGAGTAAGCACTGGATAGTTTATGAATTATCTAACACATAGGGCCCGTGCAGACTCCGGCTTCTGAAACAAGGGTCAACATCGCTGTTCGGATTCACTGGTCACCTCAGGCTGCCTTTGATCGGTGCGATAGCATTGTTCCTGCAAGATCACGGCACCTTCAAATCTTGTGGATTCAGCACATGCCCCGTGGTTGCAAGTGATGCTTGTGCAGCGATGTGGGACGCAAGTATTATTTAGTTTTGAAACCCGGAGCGAAGAATAGAATTTACAACATGCCCAGTACATTTTTCAGATTCATCTGCATGCGCTGGGCCAACGGGAGTGTTCACGTGCCCTCTCCCTTTGCCTCGACGTCTCCCTCTCCCTCTCCTCATCCGTTTCCTGCTGCTGCTGCTGGCGCGGTTGGTGTCAAGGGAAGGGTGCTTGCCCACACCGGGATCGTGTACGGGTGCCGGACGCGTGCATGTCCCTGCATGTCCCCGTTGACGGTTTGCAGCAACTGGTCGAGCGGTTCCGCCGTGTAGGATGCAACACGGGGATCACGGAGGCTCACCTACTCAGTGCACAGTGTACACTTGAAACAGCCAGCCTGTTGCTGTTCGTCGTCCTGGATGCTGCATTTCGGGATGAAGGTTTGTCTTGCAGGAGTTCGAACATGATTGTGTTTTCGATCTGATGTGCTGCGCATACAAGCATTGTCTTATGCCTTATCAGAATGTGCATGATGCTTAGAACCCTCCATTGCCGAAAGCTCCTTCAGCGACTGCAGCAAAAACAGCGCAGCGTAAGGGAATGCTTCCGATTCTGAGAGGCCTCACAGTAGCTATGCAAAAAAACAAAAAGGCAGACAGCGCTTGTTCTGGCCTATTGCCGGTCCATTGCTTCTGAGCTTGCCGCCCCAGAACCACAGGTGCCATCTGCAAAAGGATGAAATAGATGGAGGGCCCTCGAAATTGATCCCCAGTGACTGAAACCGCATTCCTTTGCAAGCAGTGCTGCTCCCAAGCCCTAGACCGTGAAGCAAGTTTGAGGTGACCAGATCAAGAAGGTGACGGACCACATCCAGCAGCAGTTCGAGATCAGCTTTCTCAACCAGTGCCCTGTCTGCGACAGCTTTTGTTGAGCTCAGTTGTCGAAACCGCTTTTCCCATCTACAATTTGCTTTCGCCACTCCCCCATCAACAGGG